CCCCAAAACCCCAAAACCCCAAAACCCCAAAACCCCAAAACCCCATTTAAGCATAGAATAGTTGAGTGAGTAAATAAATTTAAAATATGAACGTGATAGAGGAGTTTGATGAAGAGTTATCTGATGAGTTTTTGGATGAAAATGCTTCCGTTTCCAGTATTCATGTGTCTGAGAATCTTGACAAGAATATGTCAAAGTCATTGTTTTGTAGCAAAGTTGAGATGGGCAGAGTTTCTGAAACTGAATCGTGCCTTTTGAATCAATCTGAAATGATACTCTCTAGTGAGCCTGAGGCATTACAGAGTAAAGAAGTTTCTGTTCCTAGGAAAGCATTGCCTTTTAAGAAGTCGAGTTATCAAGGTCCATCTAACAAATCTAAGCTTAAGAACAACATTAAGACTCTCTTTAAGAAAGTAAAGAGGATAAGGAGTTATCCTGATACTACGAGTGAGCATCAAAAACTGTTAATGAAGCATAAGAAAGAGCTCCTACCAAAAAGAAGTAGGTTGGTGAGAGGAGTAACTGTTCATGACTGTGAGCCTCCCAAAAAATTCTCTATAAGCTTAATTAACCATAATTCCTACTAAACTAATTAACTAAATCCTCTTCTAGATCTTTATTAAAAACAGTATTTCTTAAATAACTTGAAATTTTTGAGAATTCCGACCAAATTATTGAATCCGATACCTGACCAGGCAAGGAATCTCAATCACTCTAAATCTATCCCTCAAAGCCTAGTATTAGGAAATATTTACAAAATTCGGAGTAACTTAACCAAGTGGATTAAATTATTCCTTGTGAATAGAACAAATTGAAATTTCATAAAAATGAACTTATGCTTGTGAAAAGGTGAGTAACTTACTTTTGCAAAGGACCTAGCCCCCAAAAGTAAACTAGAAGAGCTCAAATTTTATATCTGAGCTTAATGCAACCTAAAATATTTCCTCTCAAGCATCTTCTCTCCTAGTCTTCACCAGTTTATGATTACAAATTTTCCAGTTAATTATGATTATCGAGTACTTTTGAAGAGAGAAATTATGAATTCTCATATTGCTGAAATAGATCTGGATAGCTCGTTTATGTCTTCTTACTTAATAAACTGTGATAGAAGCATTATTTAGAGGAAGATAGTCTTAGTCATTCGATTCTTAATGAGAATAAAAATTGTTAAATTCTTGCCACTTAACTTATGAAATTTATGAAATACTTATCAGAAGTGATGAATTTTACCTTCCTGCATTTCTATGCTGATCAAATAGCCTGAGATATCTTTGAGCTCAATGGCATGGTCAGGACTTAAATTCAGCTTGAGTAAATGATAATCTAGTATGAAGGGAAAGAATGCTATCGAAGCTGCTCGTACCATACATTACCAATAGTTTGTGAAAATTATATGGTAAAGATATAAAAATAAGCTGAATTTTAAGTTAGAAAAAAGAGAAATGGCAGCAAAATACCCAGATTCCTTAAAATTTCCAAGTTTTGAATTTGATAGAAATATAGAGACTAATAATAAAATTAAGATGACTAGAGAAAGCCAAAGAAAGCTTATATGCTCAAGTCTAGTTTAAAGCTTAAAGAGTTCTTTTCGATAAATTTCAGTATCAGACTTTATGTAACTGGAATAATTAAACAAGTAGAGTGTAGCACGATTTGAATAAATTCACAAGAAAATATTAAATTTTAGAGAACCTTACTTCTTTTAAGTAGTTCTAGAATAGAGAATCAAAATTTCATAATTTTCTTAAATTTCTATCTTTTCATCACCCAATTCATATCCAAGAACTCTAAAATCTAAAATTTTGTCTTACAACCTCTCTCCAAACTCACTATGCTAAGTCTTCATTATCCATTTAAAATAGGAGCTTCATGTATCAAATTTTGATAAGAATCGGCTGAAAATTTGTCTATTTTCCAACCCATGATAAAATCTTTTCGGAACCTATACTTATTTTAATACTCATCCTGAGCTGATCTGTGCTTTTTTGAAGCTTTCGTTATAATTTTTCCCTGATGAAGCCACTATTACATGTGCTAAGTATGCTGGGAAAGTACTTCTACCAGAATTTTTGAAGATTCTGAAGAGAAATAATCTTAGAAATAATTCCAATTTTTGGTATGTAAACCATAAAATGGAGCAAGCTACTTAAAAATATTTGAAAAAGTTAGGCAAATGTTTTTGATCCATATATAACTGTTTCCTTTGAACTATAGAGAAGATGAAGTCTGTTATTCGTTTATGCTATTCTTCCTCTCGTTATCGATAAAGTAGTACAGCCTAACTTGGAAAATCTATAATAATTATCAAGATGGTAGATATGGCATGGCTAAGTGTTAATAGGGGAAGTATTAAGCAGGAGAGAGAAGCTTATGGTATGACTATAATAAAAGCCTTCTTATAATCTGAGATTTTAAGATTATAACTGTACAAGGGGAGAAGTTATTAAATTTCTTTGAAGTAATAGATTGAACTAGATCTTTTATAAATCAGATTTTATTGAATTATTAGACTCTTTGCATCTCTAATATCTGGATTAGTAATCAAACTCTAAAATTTTATATGATTCGAAAAGCTTCGACCGAACGATTTCCAAAATACGATAAATCTATAATAATTAAACAGAGAATCTCTCAACCATATCCCCTCCCCAAGGGGTTTTGGGGTTTTGGGGTTTTGGGGTTTTGGGGTTTTGGGG